AAGGCGACGGAAAGAGATCTCGGGGTTATAACTGTGTCACTGTGTCAGTTGAACAAGGTATTAAAGAAACATAAACTATTTAACACAGGGCTTGAGGTGGGGCGGGATGGCATCCCGGTTCTATTTTCATTCCACCTCAAGCACTGATTTAACATGTATATTAGAAGCTTAAGAACACACAGTTGACTGAATGAATTAAAAAACTGCATATTGAGCTGCTTTATTTTATCACTTCATAAACACCAGAAGTTCATGTTCTCTTTCTAACAAAATATATACCTACGTTCCTACCACTTGGCGCTACAGCCCTGGTTGAGCTTTGGCCTCTACAACCAGTCTCCATAACCAATGCCTGCTGCCATAGGAATGGACCCATGCATGATGACCCGAGGTCTAACAAGATATCTTGTTTTTAAAATCACTTCTGGTACTTCTGAAATTACATTTTACTACTGACTGAAATTTTAAGCAGATTATATGTGGCCATTAAGATGTCTCCGCACTGACCATGCAGAAAACAGCCTATGTTGTTGGAACGTGTTTATCGAGCAATCGCATAGAAAAGGTCATGGCACCAACCGCATAGAAAACGCCGCACTCCCGTGGTTGCCTTGCGTGTATTCGGTCGCGAGGTGTTTAACTTGAGCTTGAGCTGGCCGTAATTGATTTAAATGACCATTCCTGTTTGGGCGCTTAAACAATTTTAATCATTGCCTTTGAAACTGCTGTATCTAAGACAATCTTTATGATAAATGCATGGAATTGACTGTTTTTTATCAGCAAATAACATAGTGTCACATATAACACAAAATTTGAAAATTTTTATACAAATATTTATACTATTTCAATTTTTTCTTTTAATTTTTATGCATACTGTAAAAATGGTTTTCCACCTCTTCACAGAGTAGTTCATTATAAAATCATTCGTATTTGTAACACTTCACATATTTTAGCAGTTCTTACTTCCATAAAACAGCTGGAAGCAATAAAATCATTTGGTCTAATATTGTCAAGTTTCATATCTTTATTACACCCTTCAGATTTTTGAATCTCTTGACTACAGGACAGAAAAATGAAAGTATGGCTATTCAAGAAAAGGCCAGAGGGAACATTTCGATGGTCCCTACTTCAGTGCTAAGGCCTTCCATTGCAGCTGCAAGAGATTATTGCCCTTTCTATGGTCGCAAACAGACAGTTTCATCGTGGCTGAGATACAGGGTGCAATATGTTTTCTGTGCGTTCATAGTGAAATCGAAATCTCTAGTTTCATTTCACCGTATAATGGCAATGAAACGTCGTTTGGAGAATGACCTGCTGCTCTTTCATCTACAATATTTCAGATAGAGGAAGCCAATCGACATCACTGGCCAACCCTTTCAGACAAGAGAATGACCTGCTGCGTTCGTTCTGCAAGTGGGAAGAGAAGTATCCACACAAAGGCGAGATTTAGTTAGATAATTGGGGGGGAGGGTGAAACCTGTATATACATCAAGCAGATAACAAAAAAGTATGTACACTGAATTTTACTATGTATGATTTAACATATTGTAACGTGTTTTGCCAGTGAAGATGCCGTTCAGATTGTTAATAGTGCAGTTCTCTTATAAACCCTCGGCCAGACAACGAATAAACGCCTCGCTTCATTGTTGCCTAGTCGCCGTGTTTACAGGTGTTGCTGGGAACGCTATCAAGAGTTGTTTAATGTCGCACAGCAACCGCGGCATCACCCACTACGTCACTGTTGTCACGTCACGTCACAGTGGGAAGCGCTGCCACGTCACCACGGGGGAGGGAGCGGAGCGCTGACCGGCCCATCACCGTAGCAGCGGCAGCGCTGTTACGCCACCGCTGGCGGGGGAGGGGACATCCTTCATAGCGCAAATACATTACAATATTTTTATACATAATCTGCAATAAAAGTACTGGCTCGTGAATGAGTTTGGGCATAGCTCATATGTATGCGCTTTCTTTGTTGTTGTTCACATAGGTATAATTTTAATTCGTTTATTATGGTTTTACTCAGGTCTGTCCAGTAGTTACTATATTTAAAAATAAATATATAGAATTCTGCATACGTTTCTACTAGCGGAGTGTGCGTGCTTGCGCTAGCAGAGTTTAAATGCCCGACTGCACAAAGTTGCGTACTTCGGCCACTTCAACCATAATCATCACTGTACCGATCGGTGCACTTCGGACGTTAAAGGTTAATGGTCAGTTACCTAGCAATCCTGTGTCCATCCAGGTTACATTGTTCCCTTCTTAAGGCTGTTCGCGAACAGCCTATCGGAGCATCACCGGTCCTTTCTTCCGAGGACTCTGCAACGTCTTCTTTTCCTCTGGCTCGATATTCATTTCCTTCCCGTTGTGTATTTTCCAACAGCTACATCCGCTCTCTCCTTATGGCCAGCTCGTCCCGAGCGGTTCACTGCTAAGGTGCCAGAAGATCCAGACGTATCACCATCATCCAAAGTTCTTCCTCTCTCTCTCTCTCACCAGTGGGAGTCATAACTTCTGGAGTGGCCGGTGCTCCCCCATATCTGGCCGTTCTTAGGCGAACGCTGCTTCTTTTTCCGCTATGGAGAGGGCCGACCCCTCCACAACGTCCAGTTCTTGATTTCTGCAACATGCTGGAAATCCCAATTGTTAGTTTCCCGATCTCGATCCCTAGGGTCTTCTTGTGCGTTGCTCCGCTTCCCAGGTATGATCACTGTCCTGATCCCCACCCTTCGGTCCTTTACTCCTCTTTTGCATTCCGGGCCTTTCCAGCGTATATTTTCCTCCCTTCGTACTTTCGGGCTTCTTGGTGTGACATCCTCATTATTTCGTCCCTAGCACCTATGTCCTGCACAGCGGGTAATCTTCATTCTGGCTGCGGCCATTTCCTTCCGCGGGTCATAATTTTTCTGAATAGTTTTATCTTGCGCCATGCAACTGTTGCACGGTGGGACACATTCCTGCAGGCGGCAGCCAACTTCCTACGGGATCCACAGTCTCCTTGGGTCAGTTACATCGGCTCTCCATGTCGCCCTGCAGCTTGCTTCTGACCCCTATGCCGCTTCTTCCGTCCTCCGACCAGTTTCACTATGGCATCTTCCTCAGGGGCCTCTCGGTGTTCCACTTCAGATTCAATTTTCTCTTAAGCTGGCTCCCTGCACTCCAGACATGTCAGCTTTTCTATCGGTGTCTGCCTTTTCCTCCATGGTGTTCATGTTGGCATACATATCCTTCATTTCGGTACTATTGTCATCCATTCTTGCTAACAGGTGTTCCATCTCTCGCATCTCCATTTTCGTAGAACGGCTCTGTAACTATGCAACTCAGTCTTCAATCCAACAATTCGATCGATCCGATCCAGTTACTTCTAACACCAGTTGTCACGAGTTTATGGCTGGTTCACCAGTGACACCAAATATGTCACGTGTAGGAGGGTACACGTGACGAAATGAGGGATTCTAGTTCGGATGAGCTTGGTTACACACTCTCTCTTAATTACACTTAATTAAAGCCCTATCGCTGATTTACATAACCTCATAATCCACTGTTACACGCACACTAGTCCTCTCTTGGTAATGATATCAATACAGAAACTAGCGCTTCAAATCACTCTAAGGGGCCGCGCCATAGCTGAAGCAGTTAGTCGCTGGCTTCCCACCGTGGCGGCCCGGGTTCTATCCCGGTTCTAGTCAAGTGGGATTTGTGGTGGACAAAGTGGTGCTGGGGCAGGTTTTCTCCGAGTACTTCGGTTTCCCCTGCTAATCTTCATTCCACCAATTGATCCACAATCACCCATACCTATCATCTGGAGCTGGTACAATAGGCAGGAAGTGGCTGCAGTACAAGGGACTTAGTCCCAACCCACTAGCAATAAAAAAAATAATCAAAGTCTTCCAATCACACTTTAAATCTTCACAGGTCTTCTACGAACTTCCCATTGCTATCACTCCTACTGTTACTTAAACACACTCTTAACACTCTCAAAGACTCTACCCCGTTCTGTCTCTAGCTGTCGATATACAGCCTCTGTGCTGACCACGCAGAAAACAGCCTCTATTGTTGGAATGTGTTTACTGAGCCATCGCATAGCAACGGTCATGGGGCCGACTGCATAGAAAACGCCACACTCCCATTGTCGCCTTGTGTGTTTTCGGTCGCAAGTTGCTTAACTGTCAGTTACCTAGCAATGCTGTGTCCATCCACGTTACAATATCCAGTATATTACTGATGTGCTTTTGTTTCTGTAATTTAACATATGAATTCATAATGATAAATATAAGGCTAAGAAAATAAAACACACTAGAACACAGTTTTTTCTTCTTTTGGGGGCGTCTGTCTTTAAATGTGACCCATGGGTTATCTCCACTAATTTTGTGCCATGTTTTACATTCATTGTCACTAAATTTTCTTCCAATGAGGCCATCACTAGTTTGCATTCATGCATATTCATCCAACATTATTATTATTCTGAATTTAGAATTAAGCTTTTTCTGTGTTTACTGATTTAGCTGGAAGTTTGAATATACAGTGCGTACAATCAAGTGCGTGCCGCGGCTGCAATTTGCCGTTGCAACTCCTCCCCGCGACTGCATCCGTTCTGCGGTGGTATGACTCACGGCAAATTGCAGCCGCGGCGCACACTTGATTGTACGCACTGTATATTCAGTTTATTGACTGCAGTAGCGAATTTAGATTATTTATGTAAGATCTGAGGTTTTCACGGCAGTGACTATGAAGAATGCCATCTTCTGAGATGTGGCGCCATGAAGATCTTGTGTGAACTGACGTTTTGGAGGAAGGTATCATCTCCATCTTCGGTTCACACAAGATCTACACGGCGCCACATTACAGAAGGTTATTTATGATTTCTGTTAATTGTGCATTATTTTTCTTGGTGTACCAAGGAGCACATTGAGGTTCATCAGAGATACTTCTCACATTCTTTCATAGTTGTACACAAAAAGACTGCCTTTCATACTATAGATTATATTTCAAACCCAACTCAGCATTTTCTGGAAGAACTTTATTATGTCTACAAGACTGGTTCATAAGAATCAAATGTAGACAAATTTAAAAATCTAATATGACATGGACCTCACAACAGTCTATTCCTTGATTCATACTCACCATATTTCTTACCTTATGTGATGTGAACAGAACATGCAGTTTTACATAACATTTTTTATGAATCATCACCAATAATTTGACATATTTATATCATAAATAGCTACAATAATACATTTTCTTTAAGTTTTTACATTATGTACACATGTACAATCATTTACAGATCAAATATTCCTTGCACAAACAAGCATGGCATATAACAAACATTGTAAATGATTTAGTCTGCCAAGAACAGGTTTTGCCTGGCAGTGGTAAATCAGTACTGACATTCATCCAAAAGAATTTTTTCCCCCCATTAAGTTGCTCTTAACAAAATATTTATTGATGTATATTTTTAACAGACTTCCAGTAAGCTTATTAATATTCCAAACTGCAATCCCAGTCTCTTTAAACTAATATAAATTGGTACAGAGGATGACGGTATCAGATCAATTATAACAGGATCCCAAAATATTTTAAGCCTAGTGGTTCACTATTTCCAGAGTACAAAAGATTACAGAAAAAATCTTTTAATTTGTAATGGATATATTATAATTAGCACTCTATGTATTGCACATACTCTCTCCAGAAAAATCTGCTGAGAATGACTGGTTACCAAAATGCTAGGAAAAAATGGACCAAAAATAAATTTCAGTCAGATATCAATATTTTTCCAATGAATTGGATACATAACATTCCCATAAGTTCTACTGGAATATTTATTGATTTGTGTTAAATGTTAAGTCATATATGCTTTCTGTGATGATAATTTTGTGTTGAAAATATATGAGTTATTTTGAATTGCATAGTTGCATACCCTTAATTGTTATGACATGATAACTTTAAAGAGTGATCACTGCAAATACCATACAGTATTCAGTGCATTAATATATTATAATCCAGCAGTATGCAGTAGTCATAACAAATGTTAAAATCAAACCCAGAAACCTTCTGTATTTTATGGATTTCATAAGTGAATTCATTATTTGGTACATAAGTTTTCTGTACCTCCATCTGATGCATATTTAACATTTAAGTCACTCTCCATTTTAAAACAGTGGATGTAAGGTTTTAGAAATATAGCTGCATATACACACAAAAAGGAGTAAATATTTTACCTAAGTTTTACAGGACAAGGAATTATACTGAAACTTCACTGTATACTTGAAACAAACATAAGTACATTTAGGAAATAAAGTTCAGTTAAATTAAGTCAACATCAAACTATAAAGCTGCCAATAACATTGCAAAATGGACTTAATTTTTACAGTAAAAAAATCATATACAAAGAGATCTTTCCATCTCATTTATTTTCCAACTATGGTTTCTTTATATTATTAAACTCACTCTTCCTATGGCAATCAATAATTCAATAAATTAAAATGAAGAATATCACAAGAAAATAATTAACAGATTCCTGGCAAATGAAGTATCAATAAATACTTTAAAATGTTTTTGATGTCAGTTAAACATTAACCAGTTTTCTAACATTTATTACAGAAGATATGGAACAATGGTCACTGTAATTTTGGGATTAAGAATAATTGCTGTATATGCTGTGAGGAAACAGATTCGTCCATTTAGTAGTATTTCAAAAATATATCTAGTATATAATATATGAATGTGGATAATGGATATCACCATGTGATTAAATTAATCGGCCAGTTTGTAGTATTTAAAAGAAATGAATTGCTTTATACATGATAGTGGATAGAGAAACAGTGATTTATTTGACTAGAACATAGAGATAAGAGTAGACATCAGGACATGAAGTAAGAGTCCTGAGAGAATCATAACAGGAATATGACTGCAGTCAATAGTGAAAAAGATTAAAATGTTCAGATTACACTTGTTTAAGTGGATATATAATACTCTTCAGCCATCACAATCCACTCTATGACACACACACACAATGCACACACACATGCACACTGGAAATCATGCAATATCAACGTACAAACTAAGACTTGAACCTGGAACCTCGAAAGACTAATTGGTGTACAAGCTTCAGCTCCCCACATAAATCTGTCAGGACTGCAACGACACAGTCTTGTAATACAAAATTTATGGACTAAGGTAGCAGATAGTTATTTTATCTCAAAGCCTGTATATAATCAAAATATGTTCTTTTGTTTTTTATTACAAACTGCCATTATGAACTAGTTCTATTACTGACCAACATGCTTCCATAAATTATATATATTTTCATATCGTAATGATATGATGAAATAGTGAAGATAGATGTGGCAAAGGACATAACATTTTATTATAGAAATGTAATTTTGTCTCCAATAAATTTAATTTTAGTTCTCTTATGTATAACCATGCATTAAATTTGAAGACAAAAATTATAACATTTTTAAATATGTCATATTTATGAATAAAAAGGCATGGACTGAGTCAACTTATTTACATAATTTACAGAAGACAACACCTTCAAGTGAAACATACTTTCAGAATGACAGACAAATTATTCAGTTACAAATTCCTTTACAGTTTATGTGAGACAACAGAGATAGAGAAGTTAAGATATGTCAAGGTATATACTTTAACATGAATTATTGTTCAGTGTGGTAACGAAACACTTCAGAAAACTCCAATCACTATCTTAGGGCCAGACCGTTTCTCAGCTGTATGCATGATGGTACACAATGAGGTATATCGGCAAATGTGTTAGAAGTCAAAAGTTTCCCATCACCAGTGTACTGTATGTTCCAGTCCTGATGCTAGAACTGAGGATGAAAGTCTAGCAAACATGTTTGTAGAAAAGAATGGCTAATTAAAGCTATGACAATTTGGTTCCACCAGGGCACTGAGCCAGAAATAAGGGATATGTGTTTTTCTGTAATTCTAATTAACAAACACTGTAGTTGAAAGCATGAAGAAAACAGAAGCTGTACTAGTGAAATGAAACTAACATAAGCATATTCACTCCCTTGAATTAAGGTTCTAAAATGAATTACCCTATAAATGACAAATTAATAACATATGGAAAGCAGAGAGGAAGTCTCCCTTTACTGCTTTCATGTTGACATGCTTTTCAAAGAAGAGGCACCTTCCTATCATATACTTCATTCCTGAATGGCATAGGAGTCTCAAATGTGTAATGAATACAGTTAAATATGAAAGTGGAATCTTTCAGTCTCACATGTTATAACTCACCATCAAGCAAAACTTTGCCAAAAATTCAAGTCATGTACCCCATGTATACATTTCTGTTACTTAATAACATTTAAGAAATATTATAAGTCTTTCTCTTTCAAGACAGATCATCAGACTTAGCACCCAGTCAGCCAAGACTAGTTAACATTCTGATATTTTCTTTTCAGCTGTACAAAACAAAGGCAATTAACTGGCTGAAAATACAAAGACAATTGAATACAGTCCAATAAAAATAGCATATCTACTTATGTTCCTATTTTGAATCCATAACTTTCAAGTCAAACCATTACACAAACTGTGCTGATTAATTATATTCGTTGCCTTAAATTTAGAAATACTTGTCTGTATAAATGGCTTGACTTTCATTCTGAACACATCAAATATGTCTTTCTCATAAAATACTGGCATTATAATAAAATGGAAGGTCTGCATTATAAAACCTGTAAAATATGCTATTCTCAAGAACTGCAACATGTCTAATAATAAAATGGAATACAGGCCAGCTGTCAATTCCTGCACCTACACATATATATATAATATTACATCAATGTAATTAAAAATGGTCTTCAGCTCTCTTCATTTTCTCTTCCTTCTTCAGAATTCAGTTAAATAAGATAGGTGGATTTTCCAGTTCCTGTTTCACTATACTCATTGTGACCAATGCACTACCCATATCAATTTTACTGTCCTGGCATAGTTCCATTGTACATGCACAATAACTAATACTTCAAACACTGTCAAATAGAACAATCAAATTTTATAAATTAGGCACTTGCCAAATTACACACTATCCAAAATGTCTATCTTGCTGAGAGCTACACCTCATATCTGAGCCCTTGCTCTTATGATAGTGTGGATGTCATTATCCCCGTGGTTGATCCCATAATGTGGATGCCACCAGATATAACTGGCTGGGCAGTAAGCAGCAGAAGGCTGATGTCATAATACAGTTGCTTCAAAACTGAATAAATGAGCCATCTTCAGATGGCAAATTTGTTACCTTCTATAGCTGCAACTTTTGAAACACTAAGATGTATCTTACTTCATAGCATGATCATACTGAAGTGGAGCCTAGAAGCCCTCAATTACATCATATGCTTCCAAAGTGGCCATGAGTAAATACATCAACCATAGAAATATTAGCACTAGAGATGTAATATACTTAAAATATTTTGGACCGCCAAGTTCGCCACCAACCACTTTTGACCTTCTTAACAACAATATAAGTATGGCAATAAAGGCTTCTGAGCAGAAAATTGTGACGGAGAATGCCAAACTGAAAAGAAAAGTCAATATCATATATGCAGTCTCATTAATACAGAGAGTAACATATGAGGACAGGAGAAAAAAGGAGGGTCAGTGTGTGATAACATATTTTATAAACAGTTTGAAAGCTGCTTCTATTATTAATTTAATGAAAATATATGAGAGCTATTTTGAAAGTAACTTCTATTTATTTTAGACAACTAATGTAGGAGTCGGGGGAGAGCTCACACATGCGAGGTAGCGTCACATGACTCATAGCCTTGTAAACCACCACATAACTGGTCACCTAATGTTTGCCTTCTCTCTGAAGAGTGAGCTATGATATGTCCTGCAATTGGCAATCCCACCAGCTGCATAATTCTTGCTGTTATGCACTTTCTTCACACTAAAAACATGAGTGCTATGGAAATCTGTCATGAATTAGGCGCGGATTATGGTCAAAGTAAGTGTAATAAGTGAAGGAACTGTACAAACAATGGTGTAGAATGTTCAAATGGGCAGACAGACAAATGTGCAAAATGAAGAGAGAAGATGTCAGTCATCTCTGGTGAGTGATGATCTTATTCAAAGTGTTGACAAAATCATCTGTGAAAGAGGGAGCTTCACAATTCGTGAACTAACTTTTGTGTGAAATTCCACAAATTTAAATGACTCTTCTCTATAAGATTATCAAAGTTAGGCTAGGCTATCACAAGTTCTGTGCAAGAAGGGTTCAGGAAATATTAGCAGGTGCACATAAAACACAGAGAATGGCTTCAGCTTTGACTTCTTAGATCGATAACACAATGATGGCAATGAATTTTTCATTCACACCATACAAGTAACAGGTGATGAAACCAAAGAAGTGGATGCACACACACATTCACCAAACAAGCAGGAAAATTTTAAACAAATGTCTGCCTGCCAGAAAGCTCATGGCCACTGCCTTCTGGGACAGGAAAGGAGTGCTGATGGTGGAATTCATGCAACGAGGGATTACAATAACTTAAAAATGTATTTTGAGACACTAAAAAAACTGCGTAGGGCGATTCAAAACAAAAGGCATGGATTGCTGACATCCAGTGTAGTGCTCATCCATGATAATGTGCGTCCACATACAGCTGCTCACACTTGAGCACTGTTGGAGCATTTCAACTGGGGGTTGCTTGACCACCCTCCTTACAGCCCTGATCTCGCTCTGAGTGAACACCATCTGTTTACCTACCTGAAGAACTGGTTGAAATCACAGCATTTCAGCAATAATGAGATGATGGAAGGTGTCAAAATGTGGCTGAGCTCACAGGGGACATTCTTCTTTGATACAGGCACACAAAAACTTATTCCCCAACAAGATAAGTGCCTCAATTCCAGCAATGACTATGTTCAGAAGTTTATTTAGTATGTACATATCTTTTGTATAACATTTTCTTTCTCATTGCTTGTTTTGTTCACAGCTCACCAGAAGTTACTTTCCAAATAGCCCTCGTATTAAAAACACACACACACACGGTTGTATGTATCATGGCATGTGCATGAACAAACAGATGCAGAGCAGGAAGAAAGCAGAGAAAAATTACTCCTAAGATCTGGTATCTCTGGATTATCCTCAACATTACAATCTATATTAAACTATTTAACAATTACATATAAAAGTTTAAATTAAAATTAAACTATCTGATGGACATAAAATTTACTTGGGGAGTAATTCTGCTGCAGAATTTGGTAAATAAAAATGTAACTCTGTATTTTTCAAACTATTAGTAGTCAATATATCATAAGATAAGCCATCACATGAAATTACATTATGAAACCTTAGTTTTTTTGTTTTGTTTTTGTTTTTGTTTTTTTTTTTCCCCCATTTCTTACCACTACACATTTCGACCATAAACAATCATAATCAAGTGATGTACATTTACCTACAGGATAAAGTATGCCTTACATGTTTTGGCCCTATAGGGCCATCATCAAAGGTATGTGTGTTAAAGAGGAGCTCCTTAGTATATTTATATTCATTTCTAGCAACATTTGATTTGGTGCATCCTGGTCTGTCACACTAGCAATATTACAAAAGGTTAACCAACTTCATCCAGTGTGACTGATAAAATGTTTTTTATTTCCTTTCTAATCTTTTATCTTTGAAATGTTTCGGTCTTAGAGACCATTTTCAGAATCATATCAATATGGGCAGAAACTACTATTACAATGTGCTTGGTCAATATAAAAATATACATACAATATCATCACAATACACTGAATAAAATCTGATCCTTTGACAACTACAGTGACATGCATGAATACATTACATATTTATAAATTACTACAATTAGTTTATTTATAAGTGTGGTTTAAAATAGATTTTGTTACAATTTTTTAGGACCAATTTGGCTCGTGTCCTTTATATTGCCTCTCTTTCAAGGAGGTTGCGTGTCTACAACTTCGTGCCTCCATCATTTGACGAATAGGTCCCTTTACTGTTGTTCTGTTGTTCATGCTGTGCTGTGTTGTTATATAACAACAGTCACATTGGCAGGAGATGATTAACCTTTTGTAATCTAGCAGCATTATTTGCATTTAAATTTCTTTATAACCAAGTCTGTAAAGAATTCTGTGTTTATGCATACATTTGTGATGGATTGGGTGATTTTTGGATATTCTTGATTCTGTCGGTGTTGATTTTCCTATGTAAATTTCATGCAGAACATGATCCATATTATACCAAATATCTGGCAAATAGTGCACACATTTTAATCATTTTTGTTTTTGTTGCATAACTTAGGGTTTGTATGGAACAAACCATTAATAGTCTGTGTAATACATCATGCATCATGGATCAAGGGATGCTGAGTCCTTGGTTTGCTCTTCACACAGATTTTCTCACACTTCGAACAAAAGCTTGCCATATGGTTTCAGTATCATGTGGTGAAGTGGATTGCTGTCTGGGACATGTCTGTTTCATCACACTTCTGGCTGCCTTGAACTGCTCCAGCCATCTCAGAATGCTTTATGAAAAGGAGGTGCTCCATGCATAGCTCTGAATTTCCCTTGCACAGAGGTAACAGGTTTTTATTCTGCTATACATACACACACACACACACACAACTTTCTGATGATCCAATGCCATTCTCAAAGCACCTGCCCACTGGAATACAGCTGTTGCTGAAAGCAATGCATATGAACACTCATCCACACAGTAATGCATCCTCCGTAGAACAAACATTGTACATGACATTTCGATAGTTCTGCTGTCATGTAGTGAAAACCGTACTTTCCTGGTTCTGTTTTTTTTATCATTAAAAATGTTTAAAATGTGGGTGCTCATTCTCAGACATCCTGTATTATTGCTTCACTGTCTGTCCATCCCTATCCGTGATGTGTGGTGTGTTGTGCTGGTTATGTGGTCAGTGTCTGGGGTGCTACCATCAGTTCAGTACTGGGCCACTAACAGCCCAGACATTGACCACATCACCATCACAACATATTGTGCACCCAGGCAAGGGATGGAGAGACAATAAAGCAGTAATATAATATTGATCATGTTCTGCATCATACATAAAAGAGCAGCACCAATGAAAACCACAATATGTGAAAATTACGCAGTTCATCAGCAAGTTATACATAAACAAGGATCTCTCTGTGCTCTCACTTGTAAAGGGATTTAAATGTAAATATTACTCTACATAAGAGCAGGCCATGGGAAGAAAAGAAAAGAACACCAAAACAACACACCACATGCCCATGGGCTAACATATAACCACAACATCAACATGAGATCACAGGAAGAACCCCACTAAAACAAGAATGCACAATATTATATTGTGGCACACTACTGCACTTCATTAAGCATCAAATGGTTTCATGGTCTCAAGTGCAGCACTTCTATAAAACTTACTAAAAGTTATATGTAATATAGATTTTAAGTTAGTAAAAGTTATTCACTACATGTTTCAACCTATAAAGTCATGATCAGGTGCTTTAACATTTTAAATTATAAATGAGGAAACTGCTGTTATTCTGTATCGTGGTCTTTGGTCATTACAATGCGTTATATTCCAAGTGGCAGGTTGTTCCACATACTGGCGAACACTATCTAAAAATCTGACAACACAAAGCAAAAGATACATGATAACATAATGCAAAATGAGAATATATATATCATTATTCATGTAACTCAATTTTTATGCCAAATAGAATATTTTCATATTTTTAAAAATCTAAATGTCAATATTTCATGTTCAATTCATTTTATAACATAAAGGCATTATATTGTGACGTGTTGCGCTATGGATGATGCCCCTCCCTCCCCGCCAGCTGTGACGTGCCAAGCGGAGCCGAAGTGAGCCAAGTCCCAGCACGCTGGTCGCTATGCAAAGCGGGTAAACAGTGGTTGCTAGAGACGACGGTAATAACAGCGGTACCCATTACGTAACAGGCAAACACGGTGTCAGACAACAGTGGTGCCTATTACGTAATTGTTTTCCCGTTGTCAGGCTGAGGGTTTATAAGGGAACTACACAGCCGCCAAAGACAGTTAAAGTGTATCAGCACCCAAAGACAGTTCTTAAGGCAGCAGTTACGAGTTATGAGCTAGCCAGAGAATCAGTCACCAGTTAATTGCAGTCCAGTATTTGTGATACTGCCAATGGCAGTAAAATTGAGATTGTAAATGGTGCGATTGTATGAGCAAGTGTGGAATAAAATTTGCTATATCCAATAAGGTGTGAAGTTATTTGTCTCATTATACACCCAACACATGACAATATGTATAAACACCATACCTGTATAATGAACTCCCAATGTGTAAACATGGGCCAGTGTAGGGAGGTATAGCTAACAGAGAGAAGGGTAATTGTAAAAGCTCTAAATACATGATGATGTCCGCAATACACCGAAACATGTAGTACATGCAAATGCATGGTGTGTTTATACCAGCATTGTGTTCACTTAATAATAATAATAATAAACATATTGTCACGTGTATTGGTGTCTACTAACGTGGGTTCTGGATTGGATGAATGGGATGAACTCCTGATA